CACATAATAGTCACTCAGTAAGCATTTATTAAGCTGGCATATTGATTTTTGCTTTGTTTATTGCTTAACAAAACATAGTTTAGGTTGAAAGAGCCTGCTCATCACCTAGGCTCCAGTTGCCACAAACAGGAAATGAATTTGCTTCTCCCTGTCCAAGCCTAGTTCTTGGCAGAATGGAGCAACTCATTGCTAAACTACTTTTTTGTCTTTTAGGGAGATATTGTAGCTGGAAACTTGGCAGCTCACTCTTTCAAAGTGACAGCTTTAAAAAAAGTCTACCCAATACAATTTAGCGTAATTCTAAACACATCAGAAAATGGACTGTTAAAAAAAAATAAAAAAAACCTCTCCTCATGAGCCAGCTGCCTCCCTGTCTTCCTGTCTTTCCCCTAATATGAAAAAAAAGTGGATTGTATTCTCATTTGGTTGTACAAATATTCTTCAGAGAATGATTATACCTGTCACAGATGGAATCTTGATATAAGTTAAATGTTTAGGTTCATATCCCAGGAATTCCCTAGTGAACTAAATTCTCCATGCAATTTTTGGTAATAGTATTACCAAATTATAGGCATATGTAATGTCCATGAGGAAGTAGATCTGTTTATTGTGAAAACAACATGATAAAGGCTCTTTTCTCCTATTTCTTTTGGATACCCAGAATTTTAAAGTACTTTTTACTAGAATGATTAAAATATTTTCTTAAACAGCTTATTGTTTTTTAACTGTTATTATTAAAAATGTCCTGTACCTAAAATTTATAAGAAATGCTCAGCTGCTTAGAGGAAGCACAAATAAGAGAAACGAAACTAACATCTTCTCCAGGGACTAAAATCTCCCTGGTCAATTTCTCTTCTATCTCAAAGTATCTCAAAAGCCCCCAAATGTACTGCCATCTCTCCATTTTTCTCCTCATCATTAGAATTCCCTTTATGAAACATAATCCTGATTATGTCATTCTGCTATTTAGAATCCTTTGCAAGCCCCTCATTATCTGAAGAGGGAAGGTAAGGTCTTCAAGGCCTATTAGAGTGTGATCCCTGCTTATTTAAATATCCCAGGCTCGTCTTCCCTCTCTTGTCTTCACTACTTGACATATACTGTTCCCTCTGCTAGAAATGCCCCTCCATGCACTTGTCTGTCTGAAGACTCCTTTTCATCTTCTAAGCCCTAACGCAGGTGTCCTTTCATCATGAAGACTTCCTCACCCTCTTTCCCACTCCACTGTCACCCCTAGATATTCCTTTCATTTGTTTCATCCACTAGATGGAGAGTTGCTTGAGGCCAGGGATTGATTTACTCATGTTTGTGTCGCCAGAGAGAGCTTGGCATAATGCTCGACACAGGCGGTAATCATTAATTGTTTTTCCAGAAGCCAAATAAAAGAATGAACTAGTTCTATGCAACATCCTTCTTAATCATATTTAAAGGCCTTTCTTATTTTTTCAATAACCCTGAATCCAGAGAGGTTTAGTATGCACAAAAGGCTGATTGACAATAAAACAGTTAATTAGTTGATTTAGTTCTGACATGGAGTAGTGAAGAAGGACATACTCAGAAAGACACAAGACCCCATTAGCTTGAAAAATATGAGATCCTGCCTGCATTTGATTTTATTTTTATAGATCCAGATATGCTTTCCAGTTTGAATTCATTGCATTAGACCTGTCAAATAAGTATTATAATTACTGCTGCAAATGATCACCTATTGTAAATAATGCAGAGTCAAACCAGCCCAAGAATATAAGGTTATGTTCTAGAACATTACAGCTCCTGCTAAAATAATCTTTGAGACAAGAACACTGTAGAGAGATTTTCAGAAACACCAACTGTGCATGCAGAGCAGTCTATTAGAAATTGATGCAAATCCAAACAATATGAGCAGATTTTCACACACTTTTCTTGACTATAGTTGAGTTCAAAGGGGGCCATTAAGGATCTTCAAAAACACATGAGGACATCAAACACCACCACTGACTGGCTGGCCCCATCTCCAGGGTTCCATTGTCACCTAAATATTTCAATTTTTCTTAAATATTGTGTTGTTGTATGAAAGGAACCTTACTTAAGTTTATAAATTTTAAATTACAGGCTAAAGAATTATTAGCCAAGTATTTACAAAAGCTGTGATTTAAGGGTATCACACCTACTCAATATATATTATATATATAGACTGCCATAGGACTATTCAAAGTGGAAATTTTGACATTTCCCCCCTTTTTGTCCTCTTGCTTCTCTGCTTTTCTCAGTCAATATTACAAGAGCAATGCTAGGGGGATGCTTTTGTAAAATGCGTCTATTTAAACAAATGTGGAGAGAGAGCTTCATTTAGGGCTTTGTGTTCCCAGAGCTAAAGGCATAGACAGACAGGACATCAGGGAGATGAAAATCCTTTTGGAGGCCACTAGTGGCCACTGCATGAACTGCAAGAAGATGGCATATAAACACACAGGACTATGACTTACTTAGCAGCGATGATTTGGGAAGAAACGGATATATTATTTAGGGCCAGAAAACCCACTTTGGGTACAATTAAACAGAAATTTTAATATCTAAGTATAACTAGGAGATGGACTTCCTTGATCAGCTGGTTTATATGCTGGTATTTTTTTTTCCTGTCCTACTCATCTGGGACTTCCTGGGTTCAAAGACTCTACCTTCATATCATGTAGTACCTAACTCATCTGTGTGAGAAATATTAAAAGGATGCATGTTTATGAGATCTGGAAGCTGTTATTAATAGTAGGACTGTAATGACTCTGGGACTGATGAGTCATTCAATTCTCAAGTGATTGCCTGTTCTTTAATTCTGCAGTCATTGGGCACTCTACACTGGGGCCTGTAATAAGTGTCCCAGAATGTTATTGGGTGTGGACACATGATTTTCAGGCAAATAATGACTGATGTTTCAAAATAATTCAGTTCAAAAGAATTCTCACCCCTTTCTCCAAAAATAAATAAACAAGAAACAATAACGCCAGATTCTCAATTGATCTCCCTGTTCAAGTTCTCTGGCAGTTTTGATTTCTTATTCAGATTTCAGTTATACTGAGACTTCAGGCTGTACATATTCCCCTTAGAAACAAGTGTTGACTGGAATAAGCTCTTGACCGTGTAGGGAGATGATAATGTGCTCGTTCTCAGTCAATGAGCCTTTACTGTGTATGTCCTGTGGGTTGGGGACTCTCCCAGGCACTAGTCATTGGAGCCTCATGACAACTGGGACATAGGTATTGCTTCCACTTGCTGATGGAAAAACTGAGAGTTGGGGCACTTCCATGACTTGCCCTGGGTCCAGGGTGAGCAAATGGCAGATGTGGAACAGGAACCCAGGTCATCTGAGTCCTGGCCCAGGGCTCTGTGTCATACATCACTGCTTTTGTGAAAGTGCTCATTTCTCCTTACTCATCCTGGCCTTTTTCTCTTTCTGTCCTTCCCACCCACTTCTTCTAGCACACTTCCCCGGGGCCCAGAGTCTTCCCTGCCAGGGGGAATTAGGCTAGAAGACTTAATACATCAAGGTACCTGTTTGATAATTTGATGTGCACACTTCTCCATTTATTTGCATTCTTAAAAGAAAAGAAAAAAAGACCCCTAGACTGGGCAGTAAAGGAGTTGAATATCAATTGCTTGCTTTGGCCTCAGTTTCCTAACTCATAACATGAGAATCTAGACGAGTTAATTAGCAAGTCCTTTGAAACTCAGTTCTGTGGCTCTAATGATGGAGTTTTACAGTGCAGCCCCTCGCTGGGAGAGAGAGCTCAGAACTACAACTTTACAAGTGTCTCTTGGTTCCTCTACTCAATGGAAGATGCCCTCTGTTCTGTGAGCCCCCTCCTCCAAATTTGGATGCTACCTCATGGAGGGTCCTGAATCTCTCTCTGTTTTCACAGTTGGATATCAAATTGTCTACACATGAGGGAAACACAGTAAAGCCCGCCCACAGACTCCAGGTGGGGCTCTGACCTGCTGGATTATGGGAATCAGCACTGCCTTTCCTTTGCTTTCCCCCAGGTGGTGTCTTTCTGATGAGGCAGATTAACCCCACAACCACAGGTGATCATGGGCACCTACCCCGCCAGGTGGGTGTTTACCCCCTCCCTGCTATACAGGTGAAATGTAGCACAGAGCACTCTCAGGAGCAAAAGTGGGTTTTGGTGCACGTGTGCTAGTGACAAAAAGTGCTCCCTGCTGGATACCATTCAGGGACATGAGTCTGAATGTCCCTGCCTGGCCCAGGGGAATAGTGTCTGTGTCACCAAGCCACCAGTGGCACCTGGGCTCTGTCACAGCTGACAGAGCTGAATGGAGGTCAGCTGCTGGCTGCTGCTCCCAGAGCAGATCCCTCAGGATTAGCAGAGGTGAGAGCAGGGAAAGCAGCTTGCCTCGCCTTCTCACCAGGCTGCTCTGGAGAGAAATGGAGGGCTTCCATCTCCATTACTGTCACAGTCTGGCATCTCTCCCCAGCTCTGAAATTCACAGCAATGGGTGGAGGAAGAAGGAGGACAAGGAAGGTGCTGCAAGCCAGGCAATCAAAACAGCCACAGTATTATGGAAGTGGAAACTTCCAGCTAGAGAACATTCTTAAAAACAATAGTGCTGGCGGCCAGTGGAGTGGCATGTTGGTTAAGAGTTGGCTTGGAATACCAGCTCTGAGCAGACTGAAGAACAAAAGGACAGCAACTTGTCTGTTCCCCTCCCCCGATTTCCCAATTAAATCTTTAAAAAAACAAAACAAACAAACAAACAAAAACAGTAGGGCTGGGAGAGCCCGCAACCAAGCCCATGTCCTTGTTTCATAGAGGTGACTTCCCTGAGATTACAAAGCTGCTAAGTGGTAGAAGAGGGACAAGAATCCAGGTCTTCCATGCTGTTACCACTGGAGAGGGTTTTGGAGGCCTTTCTTTAAAACCAGAGAGTGGCAGGGGCACCCTTTATAGGAGCTCAGTGGGGACAGAGGGTACTGACCCAGCGCTTGTGCCTGGGCCAGGTGCCTGTACCTTGTAGGTTGACGCCCCGGGGCACCAGGCCCTGCAGTTCTACTGTTGGGGGGTCATTCTCTTCTGCATTGGAGTTGTTGGGGGGGACGGCTCTCCTGCCTCCAAAGGCGGTCCGAGGGGTTTCCGACATTCTCCGCTTCACTGGCTCCTTGTTGGGAAACAGAGACATGGAAAAGGAGTGTGAAGTGAGTTCCATTTGACACAAGGATTCAAAACTTGAGAAGAGACATAACTGTATGCAATAGCACTTGAGCAACACATTTTGAGTTTCACATCAATAAAACCTGAGAAGTGGCAGTGAGGACAGGTCTAAGAATGGAGTGGGGTTCCCCAAGGATCTTTGGGAGATTTGTCAAAACATATGACAAGCAGAAGAAAGGGGGCTGACTTGAAGAAATAAAAAAATGTAAAACATTTTGGGGAGCAAGGTTTTTTTTTCTCATTGCCTCTAAAGACCATACCTTTGTCAAGACATGCATTAAATACATGTTCTAGGCATGTATATAATGCCCACTTTGTGTAGACTTACGAGGCCTAAGTCCCTTTGAAGAATAAACTCATACAATCATGTCCATACAAGTGGCATCCTCCCAAGCATTCATATTTGCAATTTAATTCAACCCATGTTTATTGAGGGACCTCTATGTAGCAGGATGTGGTCTGGGCACTTGGGTACACCAGATAACAAAACAGAAGGATTCTTGCCCTGGAGAGCTTTTGGTCTGGTGAGGGTTAGGGTCCAACCCAACAAAATTCAGAACTAAACTCAGTAGGGTGTGAGAAGATGTCACTGCTTTGGCGCCAGGACTGTAAGGAACAGGAGAGAGAAGTGGAGAGTTTGGGTAGGTGAGAAGGAAGTGCATTGTAATATTGACAGGGCTATAAATAGCCTGTTCTCTAAACTCACTTGGTCAGTGGTGCTGACACTGCTCTTGCTCCAACCCCATGTCCCCTTAGTTTGGAGTTTGTGCAGGCAAGGAGCCCATGTAAATGCCACACACCTTACTGTCAGCACTCAATAAGTGCTTGTTGTCCAACTGACCAAATGAAGGGAGACCTTGTTTCTGGCTCCAATGAAGTAAGTGTCCTCTTGATCACCTGGGTTACCCAGTCATGACTCCTGGTGATTTGGCTGTTTTCAAAAACCAGGTACACCTCCAAAAGATGAGGGGCTGCCATTATAAAGTCAATTAGAGGAGAATGTTCCAGAAACATGTTGAGCAAAAGCAACACAGCTGGAGACAAGAGAACCACTTCCTAAGGTATTTGGTTTTGGGAAGGAGACAGCGGTGTGTGGAAGTATAGGGTCTGACCAGGTATCCTTAAATATCTACAGACCTATTTACAGACAGTTTCTAGTGAACTGAGGGGTCCAGGAAGGGAGGAGAGAGAAGGCAGGAAAAGGCAGTCCTGGGTGGGGGAAATAGCAACAGGAGGGAAGCCCTTGGGGAGAACAATACAGAACAGTGCAGCAGCCTGTTGGGAGAGAGAACCCATAAAGCAGAAAACTGGGGAGTTTGTGCAAGCCTGGCTGGGTGAGTACAGGTGGACAGAAGCACCCCTTTCTCCCAGGTCTTGGGGAAGCGAAGGTGCTCCAGTTCAGTTTGCACATTGGGATGCAGCCAAGCAAGTGTTCTTACCTGGTCCTACTTCCCCATTTCTGCAACCCTTTTTGCCCCTTCTCCATAGTCAGTTCCCCTGAGGGGCACCCCCAACTCCCCCATTCCCATTTGATGCCTTCTTAGCAAGCAGTGCCTTCAGGAAAGCTTCGTGGAGTGCCTGAGAAAAATCCTACTTAGAACAGGGGCTGGGTAGGGCTGAGAACAGGAATTCGATAAGTGGGGCTGCCTTAACCCCCATCATTCAGTACACAGAGCAGCCAGCCAAGAGACCCAGTTTCAGGGGGGTGGACACAGCAGGCCCTAGGTGGGCCCTGGGTGCAGGGCTGGCTATACTGGCAGGAGTGACGGCTCCTTACCTGCGGTCCCCTCCTGAGGTGCCCTGGAACACGGCTCTGTGAGTCCCCGGGGTACTTCCTCAAAAGGACGCAGGAAAAAAACGACAAGAAAGTTGGCTCTTAAATAATTTCTTAAGCTCCCTCCCTTCTCCCCCTTCCCACAAGCTTTTCTCCTCCCACTTTTTGACAGCTGGAGCAAGTGAGCAATTTCAGGACTTTCTACTTACTTCTACCATCCTGCTTTGGCATGCACGCCCTCCTCCCACACAGGGCCCCCTTACTTCCAGTTTCCCAGTCCGTCTTCTCCCCACCATCCCCACCCCCAGCCGTGCCTCCCTCTCCTCACCTGGTGGCTGGGAGGACCAGCTAATGGTCCTGCAGGGCCAGGCAGACCTGCCACCTTCCCTTTGGTCCAGAAGGCTGGAAGGGTCTGGATTTTGCTATTCAGGTTGGTAGGGGCTTGGAAGAATGGAGGGTCTGCACTCCTGCAGCTAGGTCACAGACATCTGTGACCATGTGTGAAGCAAGAGCAAGGTGTCCCTCTTGTATAAATAAGGCTGAGGGATATGGTCTGTATTCTTGAACCATCCCTGGGAGCCACAGCCATCACCTAACCACAGACTTCCTGTAGGGGGGATACCCAGCCAGAGAGAAAATGAGTAAATACTTTTGAGAGTGTCACAAAAATTTTAAAATAGCACTTTTTTTCTTGAAAACTACTTTGGTTTATCTTCAAACAATTGGGGGAAAAGAAAAGAAAAGTTTCCTTCTAAAATTTTCCATATTTTTTCCTTGAGTCTTCATATCTCTAAATACTTCTGTTTTTAGTCAAGGCTATATTTAACCTTCATTTACTGTCTCCAAATTTCTGACCCTGCCACTATGTCTAATTTCACAGAGAAAAATACGTGTCATTGGTTAGAAATTCTCTCAATTTTCTGCTATCAAATCTATGAATTTACATGCAACCTTACACACCTTTTCCCTCTTTCTTCATGTTACTAACGTGGGAAGGGTTCCCACCCACCTTGTCTATGGCCAAGTATGCCTTGTCACCTTAGCCTGTGCTCCACATCCCCTTCTTCTCCAGGGCCTTGCTGTACTGTTCATTTGCTCTCCTTCCTGTGTCTTTAGCTCCTGCTCTCTAGCAACATGTACATACTTTAAGTCAAGTGTCTTCAATGTGTTCGAAAACCTTCTTCATCTCTCATCCCCCCTAGCTATTGCTCCTCTCTCTCCTCTTCTTTATTGCAAGCTTCTGCCATCTGGCTTCTGCTCCCATAATTCTACTGAAAGTGTAATTAAAGGTAACCAGTGGTCTTGCTAAATCCAAAGGACAGGATTCAGTTCTCATTTACTTAACCTTTTGGAAGCGTTAAGCTCTGTTGCCCACTCTCACTTTTCCCTGGCCTCTGAGACATTGCACTCTTTTGGGAGTCTTTGCTGCTGTGAAACCTCCTTTGATAACCTCAGCAATGCCCACGTTTGCAATTTTCTTCTATATCCTGACATCCCCTAATCTGGGCCTTATCCATGATCTTCCAGAATGCCAGGCTCCCCTCTCTAACTGCCCACCAACCATCTTCACTTGGCATTTCCCAGTGATAACTCACATTCATCATGTCTAAAATGAGATGTATAATTTTCCCTGAAAACCTGGTTATCCCTAGAATTCCCTATCTCAATGAATGCCATCACCCTGCATCCAGTTGCCTAACCAAACGCATAGCATCATTGTTGACATTTCCTTTCCCCTCTTTCAACTCCCAAATCAAATTCTTCAGCAAATATTTTCTACTCTACTTCTTAAATATCTCTTGAATAGACCCACTTACCCTCTTCCAATCTATTCTTCACAGTGGTCAGAATGAACTTTGTGGAGCTCAAATCTGAAAGCAAATACTTTTCACAAAGACTTTTTATTGCCACTTCCCTTTGCTATGAATTCCAAGCATTAGTTAGCATAGCAATGTCCTATACAGTCTAGGCCCTGCTTTACTCTCCAGCCCTACCTCTGCCACTCTCTCTGGCACACTGTCTCACTCCTCCATCTCTACCTGCGCCCTGCTCTCTTCCCTCTCCTCCTCTGTCTACAAGACTTTCTTATTCACCTTCCAAGACCACTCCGGTGCCCTGCAAGGAGCTTGCCTTGTCGAGGTTTTCCTCATACTGAACAGCCATTTCCTGTTTCCTGGGCATGTCCTCACTAGACTACAAGAGAATGGAGAATCCCAGCAGAGTTCTCCAAGGAGGGGCTGCTGGCCATTCAATTACCCAAAGCCCATCCTTCCCGTAGTCTTTGCTAAGTGCTAGAGAAAGACTTGAAAGAAATTGCCATCACACTTCAGTGGCTCTCCTGGCAATCATCAAGTCTGGGTGTACTGGATTCCTAAATGCCCTTGCCCACATGGGGTGTGGGAAGCGTGGCCAGCCTTGCACCTTCCAGATTAGGTTGTACAGCTGCCAGGTCCCCCTGGGATTCCTGGCTGTGTTGTGCATTTCAGGACAGGCTGTCACCCTCACATCTACCACCACAGTATCCCTTTTGGCCTGAGATTCACTGATTATTGTGTGAACATGCACACATGCTAATTCTTCCAAGCTACCAACCCAACCCAGGAACGGTAAATGTCCCATGGCTTTCTTTGTGCCAAACAAATAATGTCAATAAGAGAGTGTTGCATGCACCAGGCCCTAGCACATGGTTGAGGACCATCCATGTTACAGCCTTTCCTCACAGTCCTGTGACCTAGAAATCAAAAAAATTTCATGGCCATACGATGAACCTTGAGCTTGCCAGAAAATGTGGCTTTTGAGGAAGGAGCTGGGTGCATAGACTGAAGTCTACAGTGTCTTTTGTTTCTGAAAGTCCCTTGCCTGGCACAGAGGTAGCATCGTGTAGGTATTTAAGGAATGTAGCAAGCGGGGTCCAACCAGGAAAATAAAAAACACTTTAAGTATTTTCGAAAGAGGGAATTTAACACAGGGGATTGGTTACATGTGATAGAAGAGACAAGAAGAAAAACAAGTAAAGAAGTGAGTCAACTCAGCATCAGCAACAGCAGGGAGGATTTGGTGTCATCGCAGTACAAGGGCTGGGTTCTGTGGCAAGGACTAGAGCCCTCTAAAATTCAGTCATTGTCAGAAGCACTGCCTGAGGTCAAAACGGAGGTCAAAACTAGCTGGTAGTGCACGCTCCCTCTGCTGTTGCTCATTTGTTGTACTTAGCTAAATCAGTTGACAGAGGACTCAGGGAGACACAGTCTGCAAAGTTGGCACCACCACATCTGGGTTGAGGGGGTGTCCCAAGAATACCCCACATTCAGTGATTCCAAGGCGGACCCACCAGACCGTCATTCTCACAGCCATGATTATTGCAGCAAAAAGATACAAATCAAAATCAGCAAAGGGAAAAAGCACATGGGACAAAAGTTGAAGGAAGCCAGGTGCAATTTTCTAAGAGTCCCCTCCCAACAGAGTCACACAGGACATGCTTAACTTCCCCAGCAGTGAGCTGTGACAACACTTGTGGAATGCTGTCTCCCCAGTAAGCTCAGCACAGGCCCAGTGCCCAGGGTTTTCACTGGGAGCTGGTCACATAGACACCCTCCGCCTGGCACGTACCAAACTCCACACTCTCTGAAGGCAAGCAGGTGCTCAGCATAAACCACATTGTCTGTGCAAACCTCGTAGGTGGAACAAGCCATGCTTGTCAGTTAGGGGATGGTGGGAGGACTCCTAGAATCCAGGTTCCCAGATATCAGCCAAGAGCCAGTCTTGAAAGGAAGCTTTTCTAAGGAGAGCAGTCTCAGGGCTGTAGTGTTGACTCCTTT